AAAAAAAACTCACCACTTCTTTAGAAGAAATAGCGCCTTTAAGCTCAATTCTTGAGATGAAAGGTCGTTGAATGGTTGACATTTCGATCAAATCTAAAATCTAAAAAAATAATCAGGTAAAGCTAAATGGTGTGGTAGGTCAAGTCAATTTTTCAAACTGATGATAAAAGTCAATCTTCATGAATATCCACCCTATTAAAAGGCAACTACCTAAGGAGTTTTGCAAGGAAGCATTCAGTGCTTTAGTCACAAGTCATTTTAAAAGGTTGTGGAACAGCGAGCATCAGTCACCAGGGCATTGCCTACGCCACAGTGACGTCCCTGTGCACATCTTGGTTCTTTGGGAACCTCAGCAGAGAAAAGCATCTAGGCGTGGTCAAAAATCAAACTACTAAGTCCAAATTTGGCGGGACAATGATCTGCAGTCAGCAAATGAGAAAACAGTAAAAACACTGCATAAACTATCCTCGGAAGGTCACAACGATGACGACGAAGATGATGATGATGATGAATTCTGTCTGTGGCAAAGGCAGCAGTAGAATTGATGGGGCTTTGCCACCAAGAAGCACCATCAAGGTGAAACACCCTTTAATATTATAATTACACAGCTGACTTACAAGCTTAACATTGGGACCATTGGTCTGAATATTAATTGAGAATATTGACTTGCTAAGTGTCATTTTTTATTCACCTCTGATTCAAAACTCGGCTGGTACCTCTTCCATAAAGCTACACGAGCTTCGTATGACAACAACAGCCCTAAAACAAAGACAAATCTAGAACAGTTTTATTTTTAAAAGTGTTTCAAATAAGAGCGTTAGGAGTGAGAACTCTCCCCACCACACTCTCTGTTTTCACATTCACTACTGTCCACACATATCCCTGTTTTCCAGTGGCTTTCCTAAGGGTGAGCTTGCATTAAGAAATTGACAATAAATGATTCTTGTTACAAGGGTAAGGTCCGCTAACACTGATCCCTGATCATTGGATATATCACTAAGATGACTCCTGAAAAAGGAAATGGTGAAGAAGCCAACAAGATTCAGCTTGAGGAGGTTGGTCGATTGGGGGGGGGGGGGGGGTGGGGGTGAGGATGGTAAACTCACAACAGGGCAAAACAACTGGGTTGCATTCTTACATGCATTATGACAAATACAAAATAAGACCATTTTGCTGGAAGGGAATTGTGCTCTAAGTATGCACCATAAAATCTAATGCAGTGACTTCAAAAGCAGTGGCCAACTTGACAATTATTGCTGCCTTACTTTTAATAGAAACAGGATATATTCAGCCCACCTTTGGTAGATGCAACAGCTTTCAAAAACATCAAGGGAACACTGTCAGTAATATTGAAGCCATTGTCTTGATAACTAAAAAACAACAGAAAAACAAGGTTAATTATTCCGGTATGAATCCTAACTAAAATAAAATAGCTGGGTCCCTCTGGATTTGGCCTGCATTGCAGATGTAATAATTATTATTTAACCCTGGTTAAAATAAAGTCGGCATAGCAGCACCGATATCATTGTTCTGTGACCACAACGGACTCAATGAATTACCAGAAGTACATTTCAAATTTCCTTTCATCCTGATTGACCCCAGAGCCCGTCGTTTCTTGGTCACGTGGTAGGGAAACGAAATTAAGCCGAGTGGCTCTGGGGACGAGAATGAGAAACCCTAGGAGTCATGTTCGAATTTTAATATATCGAACGTGGGCTATCATGTTAGAATGTTAGTCCTTTGGTTTCTGTGTTGCCACACTGTAGAGCTGGGGTATACAGTACCCCCTTTCAGTTGCGTCTTGTTTCGCACACTGTTGTATGAGAGGAACCAATGATTAGATAAAAGATTGTGGTGATTCTCGTATTCTCAGACGGGGACTATGGCTTTCGTCCTTAATCAAGTGAACGAAAGGTTTATCCTATTTCAGATATGAAACATACGCAGTACCAACAACTTTCTGTGTTGGTGCCGCTCGGGTATTTCCAGAGAATCCGCTTAAAATTTTTGATGCCCGCGCATGCGTCGCTCGTAAACACCTTTGTTTAAGCTCCCAAACTCCTCCCTTTTCATTGTGAATATGTCTACCTCGTAAAACTCCATCATTTGAAAGCTCTCCCAAAAGACTGTAAGCAGAAAAAAAACTCACCACTTCTTTAGAAGAAATAGCGCCTTTAAGCTCAATTCTTGAGATGAAAGGTCGTTGAATGGTTGACATTTCGATCAAATCTAAAATCTAAAAAAATAATCAGGTAAAGCTAAATGGTGTGGTAGGTCAAGTCAATTTTTCAAACTGATGATAAAAGTCAATCTTCATGAATATCCACCCTATTAAAAGGCAACTACCTAAGGAGTTTTGCAAGGAAGCATTCAGTGCTTTAGTCACAAGTCATTTTAAAAGGTTGTGGAACAGCGAGCATCAGTCACCAGGGCATTGCCTACGCCACAGTGACGTCCCTGTGCACATCTTGGTTCTTTGGGAACCTCAGCAGAGAAAAGC